TAATTTTCATCCTATAATTAATATTGGAGTCATCTCTTCAATAAATGTATGATCCAGCTTTTGTTCTCAAGTTGTTTTTCTTATGGTTTCTATAAAAAAAAAAAAAAAATCGATATTGATTCCGATCCAAAGAAAGAAAAATTTATTAGACCTTGTGATTATTGTTTTTTAATTTTTGTAGAACAAAGATGTTCGTGAATCCCACCATTTTTGGCCTAATTGTTTTCTCTTAAATTAAAAAGACTTGGAGATTGAATATTATTATTATTTTATTTGGTCATGGCAAGTCAATTATTTCCATGAAGAAAATATCAGCTACAAAGGAAAAGGGGAGCTTCTATAAAGCTAGCTAGTGATCCAATTGTATGCAAGAATCTATCACTCGAAAAGTGTTGAAATTATTATTCTCTCGTCTTTTTTTAATTATTCTAATTTAAATTTTACATAAATCTTACCTAAAATTTTTATACAATGACAAATAGATGACGATTAAAATTTTTTTTTTTATAAATATCTTTTATTAGGTAGTTTTACTTAAAACAAATTATTTTTTAATTATCATTGATTTACTATATATTATATAATATGGTATGGTATTTCTGAGAGACAAGTGTACATTAAACATCCATATATCTTTTCTTCTGCGACCAAGGTGGAACGTTTCCCACTTCCGATTAACACCATGCGTTCTACTTACGCGATGACTAAAGTTTTTCAAGGGACTATTTCGAGGAAATTTCTTTTGATTGCAATTAGACTTTTAGAGTTGCCTATGGGGGACCCCAAAGGGAGGCCATGTATCTTGGTCTTTGCATACAGTCAGTCATGACTTCTTTTAAGGGACAAAAACCTGTTACCAAGTCATTTCTGCAAACCAACCGCACCTTCATCGTGTGTTTGGGTTGCTTATACATTAACCCTTGGTTAATATAAGTTTGGTAACAGAAAATAATTATTTTTTATCAAATGACCATAGATTCATTAATAAATAAATATAATATACATCAAGTAAATTTATGATAATAATTAATATATTTTTGATATATTAAAAGCCACAGGTGCGCTAAGGGAAAATGAGTGTTCAATTGGCATATGAAAAATAATTAATATATTTTCGATTTAATATATTTTTTAATATTAGTTTAGTTTAATTTTTAAATTATAATATAAATATAACTGTGTTAATTAATTTTTACATTTTATATGCCTAATCATATTTTTAAATTTATTTATTTTTAATTTTAAATTAAAAAATAATAACTTTTAATAAGGATATTATATAATATATTGAATCAAAGAGTGAATTGATTAGTGTCTATCTTCATATTTAGGATTAGGAAATAAGAAAAATTACAGCATTAATTCAACTTGTGTCATTTTGCTGTCCGGTAAATATGAAGCAAATAATACTACTGCAGTTCTTCAGCCACCAAATTTCTGGCCACCATCAAATATGGTGTAACTAAACCTTCAAATCTGAATTCCCGGAGAAAAAAGAAAAGAAACTTCCAAATTTGAATAGTTTTTTTTTTTTTTTTTCTGATTTGGTCGTTGCAGGTTATTTCCATGAAGAAAAGTATCATCTACAAAGAAAAAGGAAAGCATCCCATTCATATGGAATTGATTTGACCTCGGTACGTAGAAATACTTTGATATAATAAAACTAGTTGGCGACTTAATTGTATGCAGGAATCTATCACTCAAAAAATGTTGAAGTTACTATTCCTTTTGGTCTTTTTCAGTTTATTTAATTTGACTTTTATATATATTTTAACTTAATATTTTTATGTGTTATAAATGAAGAAAAAGTTTATTTTTATACATAATTTTTAATAAGTAATTTCATTTAAATTAAGTAATTTTTTTAATTATCATTTTTTAACAAGAAAAAATTATTAAATTGAGTTTTGATATTTATTACTTTTAAAAAAATCAAACCTTAAATCTATATACATTTTATTTATTATCTAATAAACAACGTAATCATCACTGCCCCATATGAGGAAATTGGTTTCAATTAGGATAATGAGTGGTGCACACCCAGATCCAACACCCGGGTGTGCACTCCCCACATAACCAAAACAAAACCAAAAAATATAAGGATAAAATTACAAATTTACCCTCTCTCTAATCCCATTTCCCAAATTACAATAAGAACAAATCTCAGCAAAATTCAACCAAGCATTCAAGCACCTAGATCGGGTTCTACAGCAGAACCCACATTTGGGTTTCTGCTGCAGATGAGGCATGAGCTCAATTTGAGATTTGTCTTCTGAGTTGTAGTGAGTAGCTGCTGAATCAGATTCTGAGATCTGCAACATTAACAAATTTATCTTTTATGCATTAATTTTATGCTAGATCCCGCTGTTTGGATGCCGAGAAAATATAGGAAAAGGAGAAAATTTATTGAGCATTCACTTCCCCTATGTTGGCTCGAGAATGCCCTAATTCTCTTCCTACCAATTCCAATTCTCCCGTGTCTAACAAATTCATGGAATTTTCTAGAAGTCCAAATGTTTGCCCCCAAAATAATCAGACACGGGAATCCTCCCCTTTTCCTTCATTCATCTCTGAATACCTTAAATTCCTAAAATTCCAATACCTAAAGCGAAGCTAACAAAAATTCGAAGACAAACAATCAAAATCAGAAGTAGCGAAAGATAAAAAAGCAATTGAGAAACCCTAATTAATTCAAGAAAATCAAGAACGAAGGCAGCAGAACCCAGATGTTGGGTTTTTCCAGCAGAACCCAGATCTGGTTCAGTATCAACTTTGAGTCCTGTCAGGTGGACTAATAATGGGCTTCCCATGGTAGAACCTGGGTTCTAATGCCATATTGAAAATCCTGCATGTGGGCTCAATACAAAGCTTGCATTCAACCAAAAACCAATTGACAATAGGTGGAGTAGCCATCCTTATATTTAACCTACAAGCTTCTTATTTTTATACTCGATGTGGGATTTTCCCACTTAACACGCCCCCTCACGTGCAGGCCCGCTATGAATATCGGGTCCTGTCACGTAGGTTAACACGCTCCCTTAAATGCAAGCCTGGTATCAACTTCGAGTCCTGTTAGGTGGGCTAATAACGGACTTTCCATGGTAGAACCTGGGTTCTGATACTATATTGAAAATCCTGCATGTGGGTTTAACACAATGTTTGCATCCAACCTAAAACCAATTAGCAATAGGTGGAGTAGCCTTCCTTGTATTTAACCCACAAGTTTCTTATTTTTATACTTGATGTAAAATTTTCTCACTTAACAGAAACTTCTTAAATGACATAATTTATTGAACAATTTGATTTACAAAAGATAAACATGGTACATGAACAAAACCAAAACATTCAGACCTTCAAAATTTTCAACTACGCACTAACAAAAAAAAAATGTAAATAATAACAATATAAAATTGGGCAAAAACCCGTGTTAAGCCCCTAAACTTTTTTGACAGCTAGTGATAAGCCTCTGAACTAAAAAAGTGACAGATAAGCCCTCAAACCCCACGTAAGGAGCAAATTAGCCCCTCCACTAACTGAGCTCTGTCACGCCATTAGTGTAATCACTTGCGTGGCATTTGACATCAAACTGGCTCCAACGTGGCTCCAACGTGGCACCAGTAGTCCATGGGCGGGAATCATCCCGCCTAAACAAAAAACTTTTAGCAATTGAGTGGAGGACACCAAAAAGCTCGTAATGTCGGATACGAGTAGACATTACTAAAGATAACGAAGATCATTATACCATTTTGTGTCCGCATTCTTTATTGCATTTTTCTCAAGAATCGAAAATAGAAGTAAGAAATGATGAAGAATATGGCATACACACCAAAGCAGAGGACGCAACCAAGATTCTCTATCCATTATTTTGGTTGGTGATGTTGGCGAGAGACGCTCGCTTCTTGGCCCTGGAAGCAGCGGCCTTCCCAGTATTCTTCGACAAAGAGGCTTGTCGCTTGGCCAGAGACGACGTCGTCGACGATGACAACGACGAACGGCGATTACCCACAGTCGACATTCTGTCTGACCAAATATCAAACTCAACTTCAAAATTCAATTCCAAGAACCTCAATCTGCACTAGCTAGAGCT